TAAATCGGAATAAAACAAATCGGAAATCATGTCCTGCTGGAAGTATCTACATTAACTTGGCAGGACTTCGAGATCGGATGGTGAAATGGGGAAGATAAAGAATGCTGTCTTCGCACCCACAGCAAAATAACCCTTGTTATTTAAAGCTATCTGGCCAGTTTAGTTTTGTTATAATGAAATAAGTGTAGTGAGTGTTTCAGCGACATCAGGTGACCACCACAGTTGTATCCTACCCAAATTACTTGTATGAACATATTAGTGCAGTTCATGCAGGTAATTTATCTAACACCTCTTTAATGTTCATGTAAATATCTCAGTTTATTTTATTCCTCTTGTATCTAGTACGTTCAGGTGCGAGTCCACAGTTCAGTTTAACATCTTTATTATGCACTCTATTCCCATCCCGTGGACTATAGTCAAAAGATTAGAGGTACATAATGGGTCTAGGGACTGTACCTTAACATTACAGAGGTACATAATGGGTCTAGAGACTGTACCTTAACATTACAGAGGCACATAATGGGTCTAGGGACTGTACCTTAACATTACAGAGGTACATAATGGGTCTAGAGACTGTACCTTAACATTACAGAGGCACATAATGGGTCTAGGGACTGTACCTTAACATTACAGAGGTACATAATGGGTCTAGAGACTGTACCTTAACATTACAGAGGCACATAATGGGTCTAGGGACTGTACCTTAACATTACAGAGGTACATATTGGGTCTAGAGACTGTACCTTAACATTACAGAGGCACATAATGGGTCTAGGGACTGTACCTTAACATTACAGAGGTACATAATGGGTCTAGGGACTATACCTTAACATTACAGAGGTACATAATGGGTCTAGGGACTGTACCTTAACATTACAGAGGTACATAATGGGTCTAGGGACTATACCTTAACATTACAGAGGTACATAATGGGTCTAGGGACTGTACCTTAACATTACAGAGGTACATAATGGGTCTTGGGACTGTACCTTAATATTACAGAGGTACATAATGGGTCTAGGGACTGTACCTTAACATTGCAGAGGTACATAATGGGTCTAGGGACTGTACCTTTACATTACAGAGGTACATAATGGGTCTAGGGACTGTACCTTAAAATTACAGAAGTACATAATGGGTCTAGGGACTGTACCTTAAAATTACAGAGGTACATAATGGGTCTAGGGACTGTACCTTAAAATTACAGAGGTACATAATGGGTCTAGGGATTGTACCTTAAAATTACAGAGGTACATAATAGGTCTAGGGACTGTACCTTAAAATTACAGAGGTACATAATGGGTCTAGGGACTACCTTAAAATTACAGAGGTACATAATAGGTCTAGGGACTGTACCTTAAAATTACAGAGGTACATAATGGGTCTAGGGACTGTACCTTAAAATTACAGAGGTACATAATGGGTCTAGGGACTGTACCTTAAAATTACAGAGGTACATAATGGGTCTAGGGACTGTATCTTAAATTTACAGAGGTACATAATGGGTCTAGGGATTGTACCTTAAAATTATAGAGGTACATAATAGGTCTAGGGACTGTACCTTAAAATTACAGAGGTACATAATGGGTCTAGGGATTACCTTAAAATTACAGAGGTACATAATAGGTCTAGGGACTGTACCTTAAAATTACAGAGGTACATAATGGGTCTAGGGACTGTACCTTAAATTACAGAGGTACATAATGGGTCTAGGGACTGTACCTTAAAATTACAGAGGTACATAATGGGTCTAGGGACTGTACCTTAAAATTACAGAGGTACATAATGGGTCTAGGGACTGTACCTTAAAATTACAGAGGTACATAATGGGTCTAGGGACTGTACCTTAAAATTACAGAGGTACATAATGGGTCTAGGGACTGTACCTTAAAATTACAGAGGTACATAATGGGTCTAGGGACTGTACCCTAAAATTACAGAGGTACATAATGGGTCTAGGGACTGGAGTTTACCTGGAGTTTACCTGGAGAGAGTTCCGGGGGTCAACGCCCCCGCGGCCCGGTCTGAGACCAGGCCTCCTGGTGGATCAGAGCCTGATCAACCAGGCTGTTGCTGCTGGCTGCACGCAAACCAACATACGAGCCACAGCCCGGCTGATCCGGAACTGACTTTAGGTGCTTGTCCAGTGCCAGCTTGAAGACTGCCAGGGGTCTGTTGGTAATCCCCCTTATGTGTGCTGGGAGGCAGTTGAACAGTCTCGGGCCCCTGACACTTATTGTATGGTCTCTTAACGTGCTAGTGACACCCCTGCTTTTCATTGGGGGGATGGTGCATCGTCTGCCAAGTCTTTTGCTTTCGTAATGAGTGATTTTCGTGTGCAAGTTCGGTACTAGTCCCTCTAGGATTTTCCAGGTGTATATAATCATGTATCTCTCCCTCCTGCGTTCCAGGGAATACAGGTTTAGGAACCTCAAGCGCTCCCAATAATTGAGGTGTTTTATCTCCGTTATGCGCGCCGTGAAAGTTCTCTGTACATTTTCTAGGTCGGCAATTTCACCTGCCTTGAAAGGTGCTGTTAGTGTGCAGCAATATTCCAGCCTAGATAGAACAAGTGACCTGAAGAGTGTCATCATGGGCTTGGCCTCCCTAGTTTTGAAGGTTCTCATTATCCATCCTGTCATTTTTCTAGCAGATGCGATTGATACAATGTTATGGTCCTTGAAGGTGAGATCCTCCGACATGATCACTCCCAGGTCTTTGACGTTGGTGTTTCGCTCTATTTTGTGGCCAGAATTTGTTTTGTACTCTGATGAAGATTTAATTTCCTCATGTTTACCATATCTGAGTAATTGAAATTTCTCATCGTTGAACTTCATATTGTTTTCTGCAGCCCACTGAAAGATTTGGTTGATGTCTGCCTGGAGCTTTGCAGTGTCTGCAATGGAAGACACTGTCATGCAGATTCGGGTGTCATCTGCAAAGGAAGACACGGTGCTGTGGCTGACATCCTTGTCTATGTCGGATATAAGGATGAGGAACAAGATGGGAGCGAGTACTGTGCCTTGTGGAACAGAGCTTTTCACCGTAGCTGCCTCGGACTTTACTCTGTTGACGACTACTCTCTGTGTTCTGTTAGTGAGGAAATTATAGATCCAACGACCGACTTTTCCTGTTATTCCTTTAGCACGCATTTTGTGCGCTATTACGCCATGGTCACACTTGTCGAAGGCTTTTGCAAAGTCTGTATATATTACATCTGCATTCTTTTTGTCTTCTAGTGCATTTAGGACCTTGTCGTAGTGGTCCAATAGTTGAGACAGACAGGAGCGACCTGTTCTAAACCCATGTTGCCCTGGGTTGTGTAACTGATGGGTTTCTAGATGCGTGGTGATCTTGCTTCTTAGGACCCTTTCAAAGATTTTTATGATATGGGATGTTAGTGCTATTGGTCTGTAGTTCTTTGCTGTTGCTTTACTGCCCCCTTTGTGGAGTGGGGCTATGTCTGTTGTTTTTAGTAACTGTGGGACGACCCCCGTGTCCATGCTCCCTCTCCATAGGATGGAAAAGGCTCGTGATAGGGGCTTCTTGCAGTTCTTGATGAACACAGAGTTCCATGAGTCTGGCCCTGGGGCAGAGTGCATGGGCATGTCATTTATCGCCTGTTCGAAGTCATTTGGCATCAGGATAACATCGGATAGGCTTTGACAGTTGGACACATTATAGTGGTAATGAGCTATTTACATGTTTATATCCGGTCACAATCGTAATGAGGTAGTTATATAAACATTAATAGGACACACACACACAAAGTGGTAATGTTTTATTTACAGTGAGCAAAGTCAGGGTATTTTTCCACTGGATAAAATAGTTTGATATTTCTTGACCATTTCTGAGTGAGTTTTCTCCAAATTCATTAATTTTATCGCTCTCCAGCACGTACTGACGCAAGTTGTGACAATTATCTTCCAAGCAAAGTTGACATTTCGTTAGGTTGTGATTTAACCTCACAAAGATAATAATAATATCTTTATTTCAACAAGTACATGCATAAGGTGTACAGACCATAGCTGACATCAATGACATACTAATATATAGAAAGCCCCTTGTTATGCAGAGCATTTCCCGCAGATTAGGCTAGTTTTATCCCAGGATGCGACCCACACCAGTCAACTAACATACAGGCATAGACAACCAGTGTAAGGAAACACGCCCAATGTTTCTACCCTCTCTGGGAATCGAACGGAGACCTCACCGTGTGAAGGTTTAGCCTCCTGGCCACAGGGCACCGTAACCCTCTGGAGCCGGGCAGTAGTGACATCCAAGAGTCTGCTTATATAATTGCTGGATGCACCATAGACATTAGGCTCCTCCGGCATAATAGAATGATGTGTCTTCCTCAGTCTTAAGTCAATAAAGTTCAGTTGAATTTCTTTTCATAGTATTATTCTCAAACTGCTGGGAGCCCAAGATTATAATCTACTCCCTCTTGGCATCAGTTAACCTAGCTAATTCATCAGTTCTGTTGCATCTGAAGACCAATGTGAGATGGAATCCACTGAGGTGGATTAAAGTGACTTATTTCCACTTGGGTCTTCTTATTGTAACTGATCTTCACAGTTGACTTACTTAGCTGTTTTAATATTTAAAGTTATAATCATAACTTACTGTTATCTTACAGGCAGGCTGTAAATATTAAGCTATTGCAAGGCCCATAATAGAAATAAGGCACTTGCTCTGACTATTTTGAGCTGTCCAGGGGGGTAAGTAAGTCAGCTTATTTAGGTATAGGTACATATAAGTACAATTACTATACACAGTTAAATATATATGCAAAATATCTTCTAGGATAACCCAAAAAAGTGAACTTATTTCCGTTGTGGTAATTTACACATATATTTCTATGTATGATAATTGTACTTTTGTATACCTGTACCTAAATAAACTTACTCACTGACTTACGCATTTTTCCCGAGATGAAAGAAAATTATAGCAAATTTTTGACTAAAAAAATTAAAATATTATTGGAACAGCGAGAGAGAGAGAGAGAGAGAGAGAGAGAGAACAGTGGAGTCCAGCCTTGATCAACTTCACTCACTTTACTTCTCTCTTCCTTATTTACTGCATTTTTGAGCCCTAAACTGTATTGGAAATTGTTAATGGTGGTTTATAAGTTGTTGAAGAAGTGGAATATGAGAGAGAGGTGGTGAAACAAGGAGATATAAGCTGCTTGGTGTGGTGATTGTTGATGGTCAAACTATTGAACCATTTGACCTGTTTAATTTGAGGAAATGTTGGACCTGTGACCTGCTGGAGTACACACCTTCTGGGATATATACCCTCTGGAGTACTTGTCTGCTGGAGTACATGCCTGCTGGAGTACAACTGCAGAAGTACACACCTGCTGGAGTATTTGCCTGCTAGAGTATATAACTGCTGGAGTACTTGCCTGCTGGAATATTCACTTGCTGGAGTACTTGCTTGCTGGGGTATTCACTTGCTGGAATATTCACTTGCTAGAGTACTTGCTTGCTGGGGTATTCACTTGCTGGAATATTCACTTGCTAGAGTACTTGCTTGCTGGAGTACTTGCTTGCTGGGGTATTCACTTGCTGGAATATTCACTTGCTAGAGTACTTGCTTGCTGGAGTACTTGCTTGCTGGAGTACTTGCTTGCTGGAGTACTTGCTTGCTGGAGTATTTGCTTGCTGGAGTATTTGCTTGCTGGAGTATATAACTGCTGGAGTACTTGCTTGCTGGGGTATTCACTTGCTAGAGTACTTGCTTGCTGGAGTATTTGCCTGCTAGAGTATATAACTGCTGGAGTACTTGCCTGCTGGAATATTCACTTGCTAGAGTACTTGCTTGCTGGGGTATTCACTTGCTGGAGTATTCACTTGCTAGAGTACTTGCTTGCTGGAGTACTTGCTTGCTGGAGAATTTGCTTGCTGGAGTACTTGCTTGCTGGAGTATTTGCTTGCTGGAGTATTTGCTTGCTAGAGTATATAACTGCTGGAGTACTTGCTTGCTGGGGTATTCACTTGCTAGAGTACTTGCTTGCTGGGGTATTCACTTGCTGGAGTATTCACTTGCTAGAGTACTTGCTTGCTGGAGTATTTGCTTGCTGGAGAATTTGCTTGCTGGAGAATTTGCTTGCTGGAGAATTTGCTTGCTGGAGTACTTGCTTGCTGGAGTACTTGCTTGCTGGAGAATTTGCATGCTGGAGTACTTGCTTGTTGGAGTATTTGCTTGCTGGAGTATTTGCTTGCTGGAGTATTTGCTTGCTGGAGTATTTGCTTGCTGGAGTATTTGCTTGCTGGAGTATTTGCTTGCTAGAGTATTTGCTTGCTAGAGTATTTGCTTGCTAGAGTATTTGCTTGCTAGAGTATTTGCTTGCTAGAGTATTTGCTTGCTAGAGTATTTGCTTGCTAGAGTATTTGCTTGCTAGAGTATTTGCTTGCTAGAGTATTTGCTTGCTAGAGTATTTGCTTGCTAGAGTATTTGCTTGCTAGAGTATTTGCTTGCTGAGTGTTTCGCTTGCTCAAGGATTGCTTCTAGAGTATTTGCTGCAGAGTATTTGCTTGTAGAGTAATTGTGCTGTGCTCGAGTCACTTGCCTGAGTGCTTCCTCGCCTCCCCCCCAGGAGCTGTATCCTCGTGGTGAGGATCTCTTGATTTAATGGAATATGATATATGGCTCAGGTTCGCCTGAATTAACCTGAGTGCTTCCACTATACGCCACCCAGGCGCTGTATATGCCTCGGGTAGATTCCCTCTGGAATTATCTAATCTGATAATAATAATGGAGTGTTCCTGCTTGCTAGAGTATTGCTTGGGAGTTTCACTTGCTAGAGTCTTGCTGGAAGTATTCGACCTGCTGGAGTATTCGCCTGCTGGAGCATTTGCTTGCTGGAGATTTCGCCTGCTGGAGTATTCGCTCTGCTGAGCATTTGCTTGCTGGAGATTTAGCTTGCTGGAGCATTTGCTTGCTGGAGTATTTCCTGCTGGAGCATTTGCTTGCTGGAGCATCTGGCTTGCGAGCATATGCTGGCTGGAGCATTTCGCTGCTGGAGATTTCGCTTGCTGGAGTATTGCCTGCTGGAAGCATTTGCTTGAGCGGAGCATTGCTGCTGGAATTTCCCTGCAAAAGAACATTTCTGCTGAAGTTACTCACTGCGAGTATACTCGATTCTTGCCATTGATTAAACTCTGGCTGGATATACATAACGCTGGCTGGAGTTACTCGCCTAACTGGATACAATTGTAGCGGATATGATGAAGGCCGGGGCCAGACATGGAACTGCCTGTACCTTGCAAAAAAAAAAAAAAAACAAATTGGTAACGCACAAAGACAGTTATGCACTTTCCAAGCTAACCATAATATGAACTTATCTATTTCCATTGGGTTTAATATTTATTACAGTAAATACCTGCGGAGATTTAACAGCCTACTAACATTGATACATCTTATTAATGATCCCACAATACATATTCACCTCCTATAACCCCTCCAAAAATTAAAAATTATAAGCTCTTTAATGTACCTAGTGCCTTAAAAAATGAAGAAAATTTTAGTAATTAGGTATTTGTACATGGTAAACAAGACTAATTATCATACATTTTGTAAATATAAACCCAACCGCATACCCCAAAGAACGTTAGTGATATAAGTGAATCCATTGGAGGGATCCTTGATTCATTACCTTGCCAGTAACTATTGCCTTATGCAGGCAGCCCTGCTTTACAAATTAGCAGTTACATCCGTTTTCATTTGTACCCATTTTGTTTAATTCGGACTTCCTACAATAAACTATTCACCACTCACTACTAAGCCCCCTCATGACTAAAAATCATCTTAAGGGAATGTAATGTCTGTTAATGTTAATCTATTTTTAATCTAGCTCTATGCACTAAATACTGTAAATCCTGTAACACATATTATAAGGACTTGTTTTATGCATTTGAAACTGTAACGAGCTATATTCACTTTACGCAATTTATTCGGTTTACAGTCATACCTGAACCTAACCTGCTGTCCAGTGGCGGCCTCGTATATACAGTGGAACCTCTACTTGCGAGTTTGATCCATTCCATAACCTTGCTCGCAACTGGATTTGCTCGTTTGCAGTCAGTTTTCCTCATTTAAATTAATTGAAATGCAGTTAATCCATTCCAGTGGAATTCTGTACTCGCCTAATTGTGGTTGCAAGGGTCGAGACTCAGCTCCTGGCCCCGCCTCTTCACCAACCGCTACTAGGTCCTCTCTTCCCCTGCTCCATGAGCTTTATCATACCTCATCTTAAAACTATGTATAGTTCCTGCCTCCACTACATCGCTTGCCAGACTATTCCACTTCCTAACTACTCTATGACTGAAGAAATACTTCCTAACATCCCTTTGACTCATCTGAGTCTTCAGCTTCCAATTGTGACCCCTTGTTTCTGTGTCCCATCTCTGGAACATCCTGTCTCTGTCCACCTTGTCTATTCCACGCAGTATTTATGTCGTTATCATGTCTCCCCTGACCCTCCTGTCCTCCAGTGTTGTCAGACCGATTTCCCTTAACCTTTCTTCATAGGACATTCCCCTTAGCTCTGGAACTAGCCTTGTTGCAAACCTTTGCACTTTCTCTAATTTCTTGACGTGTTTGACCAGGTGTGGGTTCCAAACTGGTGCTGCATACTCCAGTATGGGCCTGACGTACAGTGTATAAAGTCTTGAACGATTCCTTACTGAGGTACCGGAATGCTATTCTCAGGTTTGCCAAGCACCCATATGCCGCAGCAGTTATCTGGTTAATCTGTGCTTCAATAATTTCGCTAATATCAACTCTGCGGCTTATTTATCTATCTCACTTCATTTAATATGACAAACAATATAAATAACATAGAAACCTGATATACTCTAAAATGAATAAATATGTAATTCATATAGTGGTATGGGCGGTGTCAGCGGTGGATGAGAGTTTGTCTGGAGACAGGACAAAATACTTTTTGAATAATTTCACTAATATCATCTATATGGCTTATTTATCTATCACAGTTCATCTAATATGAAACCTGATATATACTCTAGAATGAATAAAATACAGTGGACCCCGGTTAACGATATTTTTTCACTCCAGAAGTATGTTCAGGTGCCAGTACTGACCGAATTTGTTCCCATAAGGAATATTGTGAAGTAGATTAGTCCATTTCAGACCCCCAAACATACACGTACAAAAGCACTTACATAAATACACTTACATAATTGGTCGCATTCGGAGGTGATCGTTATGCGGGGGTCTACTGTAGTCATCATATATGTGGCGGTGGCGACGGCCGACGCGAGTTTGTCTGGAGACAGGACAAAATACTTACTCCTTGAATATTTCGCTATCATCAGCTCTATGGCTTATTTATCTGTCACTGTTCATCTAATATGAAATAAACAATATAAATAACATAGAAACCTGATATATACTCTAGAATGAATATGTCATTATGTAACAGGTGGAGGCGACCACAACCGCTTCCTCTGTTGTGGTAAATACTGCCATCTAGTGACAGCCTTTTGAAGCCATCTATTATTATAATTATTATTATGTAGTACATTATTATTATTATATATGTATTATTTTTTATTATTAACACATCAGCCGATTCCCACCAAGGCAGGGTGGCCCGAAAAAGAAAAACTTTCACCATCATTCACTCCATCACTGTCTTGCCAGAGGGGTGCTTTACACTACAGTAATAAAACTGCAACATTAACACCCCTCCTTCAGAGTGTAGACACTGTACTTCCCATCTCCAGGACTCTGAGTCCAGCTTGCTGGTTTCCCTGAATCCCTTCATAAATGTTACTTTGCTCACACTCCAACAGCACGTCCAGTATTAAAAACCATTTGTCTCCATTCACTCCTATCAAATGTGCTCATGCACGCTTGCTTGAAGTCCAAGCCCCTTGCACACAAAACCACCTTTACCCCCTCCCTCCAACCCTTCCTAGGGTGACCCCTACCCTGCCTTCCCTCCACTACAGATTTATACACTCTTGAAGTCATTCTGTTTTGTTCCATTCTCTCAACATGTCCAAACCACCTCAACAAACCCTCCTCGGCTCTCTGGATAATAGTTTTGGTAATCCCACACCTTCTCCTAATTTCCGAACTACGAATTCTCTGCATTATATTCACACCACACATATTGCCCTCAGACATGACATCTCCACTGCCTCCAGCCTTCTCCTCGTTGCAACATTCATCACCCATGCTTCACACCCATACAAGAGTGTTGGTACAACTATACTCTCATACATTCCCCTTTTTGCTTCCACGGACAAAGTTCTTTGTCTCCACAGACTCCTAAGTGCACCACTCACCCTTTTCTCCTCATCAGTTCTGTGATTCACCTCATCCTTCATAGACCCATCTGCTAACACGTCCACTCCTAAATATCTGAATACATTCACCTCCTCCATACTCTCTCCCTCCAATCTGATATCCAGTCTTTCGTCACCTAATGTTTTTGTTATCCTCATAACCTTACTCTTTCTTATATTCACTGTTAATTTTCTTCCTTTACATACCCTACCAAATTTATCCACCAACCTCTGCAACTTCTCTTCAGAATCTCCCAAAAGCACCGTGTCATCAGCAAAGAGCAACTGTGACAACTCCCACTTTGCATTTGATTCTCTTGCCAAGACCCTAGCATTCACTTCTCTTACAACCCCATCTTAAATACTGTATATTGAACAATCACGGTGACATCACACATCCTTGTCTAAGGCCTACTTTTACTGGGAAATAATCTCCCTCTCTCCTACATACTCTAACCTGAGCCTTGCTATCCTTGTAAAAACTCTTCACTGCTTTCAGTAACCTACCTCCTATACCATACACCTGCAACATCTGCCACATTGCCCCCCTATCCACCCTGTCATATGCCTTTTCTAAATCCACAAATGCCACAAAAACCTCTTTACCCTTATCTAAATACTGTTCACCTATATGTGTCACTGTAAACACCTGGTCTACACACCCCCTACCTTTCCTGAAGCCTCCTTGTTCATCTGCTATCCTACTCTCTGTCTTACTCTTAATTCTTTCAATAATAACTCTACCATACACTTTACCAGGTATACTCAACAGACTTATTTCCCTATGATTTTTGCACTCTCTTTTATCCCCTTTGCCTTTATACAAAGGAACTATGCATGATCTCTGCCAATCCCTTGGTACCTTACCCTCTTATTATACATATTATTATTATACATGTTATTATTATACATATTATTATTATTATTATTATTATTATTACAATACAGTGGACCCCCGCATAACGATCACCTCTGAATGCGACCAATTATGTAAGTGTATTTATGTAAGTGCGTTTGCACGTGTATGTTTGGGGGTCTGAAATGGACTAATCTACTTCACAATATTCCTTATGGGAACAAATTCGGTCAGTACTGGCACGTGAACATACTTCTGGAGTGAAAAAATATCGTTAACCGGGGGTCCACTGTATAAATAATTTGTAATTTTTATTCACACAGAAAATATAAAATTTACTGTTATGCCTTATTGCAATAATTGTATAAATGTCAACTCATTCACGACTGCATATTGGGATTGACATTTGTTTACTCTTGAACATAGCCAAAACAATCGAACATTTCTCCTACATTGAGCTCAATTTCAAGGTACTTTGCATCGTGAAACAATCAAAATCATATCTATATCTGTAATGTATCTTCCATTCTGTCAAATGAGACTAAAAAAACGAGAATACAACCATAAAAACCATACGAAAATACCGCTCAGGGGTGGTTAATTGCTGAGAAGTGAACTCCATTATTTATGCTTAGATTTCTTTCATTTTTGGTGTACATTAAGAAGCATCTTTCCATCATACATTGCCCAAGTTTCAGTAAGATAGTCCAACAAACAAATGAGATACAATTCCCTAGATCAAGAGCAAGTGCCCCTCACCAGCGTCAAGGAACCTGCCTTGAGGTCTGTTCGCTTATGGAAATTTTGCTCGCATATTTAAAGCAAAAAAATCAACCTGTCATCTGCTTGTATTTGGAAAAACTCGCACGTGGATGCGCTCACAAGTAGAGGTTCCACTGTATAAGTATAGTTTCGTAAAAGAAAAGTAGCTTGCTTTCGTGTGACTGACTGCATTTGCCAAAACCTAGTTTTTTTTTTTTTTATTTTTGCTACAAATACATATACACATTTGACTAGTATACACCAGTATATACGTATACACATTTGACTAGTTTTATTTATATTTCTGTCTTAGCTTAAATCTTGCCTGAAATTTTGAGCTTAATATTGACTGTTAAAAATATTACTTTTATTATCTCTACATTTTACCACACCTATGACTAATTATATTATAAATTAAATTTTTAATGTTGATTTTGAAGACCTTGATATATCCACTTGATATATCCACAAAAGGCCGAGGCATTTTGTTTTTAAGATTGTAAAATTGAAGTTAAAAAATTATGGAAATTAAGGTTTTCTACAAAAAATAGTGCAAAATTCTGGCAACATGTTGATGCAATCAGCTTGTTTCTATCATATTTCTAAGTATCTTTTTCAAAAATATAATTTTTGTTTTTGCTGTCATCAAGAGGACATGTTGGCAATTAGTGTTTTTATTGTTTTTTTTTTATCCAAAAATTACTATTGTTATGATTGTTTCATTCTAAATACTCAACATGGCAAGTTCTGTGAGGACTAAAGTGAAGAGCACGGAGTCGTTGCTGCTTAGTTGCCTCTGGGTTGTCAGCAATGATAGGGGTATGCAACATGCTCATATTTGGCATGCTATGTTCATAGTTTTATAGAAAAAAATTTGAATAACTCAGGAATAAGTTATTGACATTTGTTTTATTTTTTTTCAAAGAGTAATAATAGGAGTGTCATGATTTTTTCCACACAATATTGATGAATGATGGTTCTATTAATCTTCAGATGTGCTTTGCAATATGTTTTACCATTTCATTTTTATTGACTCTTATTCTCCCAAAAAACTCCTAAAAAAATTTTTCAAAATTTTTTATAATGCAATCTATTGACATTTCTCGCAAAAAACTTTGAAATTTAGATAATCTAACTCTTTATCTTTCATCTGATGTTGACTAGAACATTGTACATCTTACCAATTTTGTGGGCCATGGAAGGTTTTATGATAAATACAATTTTGCAATATCTTGTAACTTTGCAACAAGAAGTCAATACAAAGAAGTGTGTAGGATGCAAACTGCTTTTTAAATCACAGGATAAAGTTATATTTGAAATTGGACCAACAACAAAAACAAACAAAAAAAAAATGTCCCTCCACCCCTTAACACTTCAGTTGTTGGACAAGGACATGTATACAGGTGTGTGACATGTAATGATAGCTTCTTACAGATGTGGCACATGTGATGATGAGGGCAAGGCTTGGCGGATGTAAGCCTCCATCCTCATTGTTGTCATTGGGAATAACATCAGTTGAGGTCACCAGCAGGAGGGAAGGGTCTTCTTGTCTGGACGGGGTGTGGGCTGGGTGGTGGTGGTGGCTGGTGTCTGGACTTACCTCGTGTTCCCTCCCACACCAGCTTGTACGGTACGTCGTGTCTTGGGTGAGTGCATGACCACCTTGTTGCATTTTTTAAAGGAACAGAATTATAAAATTCACAGTTTTATTGTGGTGGTAATCTTCTGAAGATCATGAGCAAATGTTCTTGCCTTCATAGTTAACTTCAAATTCAAATTCAATTCAAAGTTTATTCTCTATAAAGATTACAATGTTGAATTTACAGAATTTGGTTGTTGTGTGGTTTACATGTAGTTAAATAATGATTACAGAGTGTACCACTAGAACGCCTAGCATGGCTAGGCATTTCGGGCAGACTTAGTTTAATTCTTTATTTTAAAATATTACAGATTATGAGGTAAGTTGGTATTATGGCTAAGTGACTAAATACTAGTTTGTGAGTTTAGCAATGTGAATGCTTTTGTTTTGGCACAGTACATAGTTTCAGTATTGGAGTATCATAGGATTCATTATTTTAAGATTGAGATTAATATTTCTGTTTATGGTCAAATGGGTGAGTGAGTGTAAGTGTGAACCACCAGGTGGTATTCGTGTAGTTAGTTGATGGGGTTTATCAGGGAGATAAGATGTTTTCTAATGGTAGTTTTGAAGGTGATGAATGTGTCTGCAGTTCTAGAGTTCTCAGGTAGGGTGTTCCAGATTTTAGGGCCTTTGACATATACATTGAATTTTTGTAAAGGTTTAGTCGGACATGGGGAATGTCGTAGAGATGTTTGTGTCTGGTGTTATGCCTGTGGGTTCTGTCACAACTATCAAGAAAGCGTTTTAGGTCAAGGTTGATATTGGAGTTTAAGATCCTGTAGATGTAGATTGCACAGTAGTAAGTGTGGATGTACTGAACAGGGAGTAAGTTTAGATCTATGAAGAGTGGGGGGGTGTGTTGCCAGGGATGGGATTTAGTGATTATTCTTACTGCAGCTTTTTGTTGGGTTATTATTGGCTTTAGGTGTGTTGCTGCAGTTGATCCCCAAGCACAAATAGCATAGGTGAGGTATGGATAAATAAGTGAGTGGTATAGTGTGAGAAGGGCATTTTGCGGCACGTAGTATCGTATCTTGGAGAGGATCCCAACTGTTTTGAATACTTTTTTGGTTATGTGTTGGATATGGGTGCTGAAATTCAGGTTGTTGTCAAGGTATAGGCCTAGGAATTTGACCTCATTATGTCTGGTAATTAGAGTGTTGTCGATCTTAATGTTAATTTGTGCATCTCCTGCTCTGCTACCAAACATAATATAGTAGGTTTTGTCAGTGTTAAGCGTAAGTTTATTGGCTGTCATCCAAGTCGATATTTTGATCAGCTCCTCGTTAACAATGGTGTTGAGGGTGGCAAGATTAGGGTGAGAGATGACATAAGTCGTGTCGTCAGCAAAGAGAATGGGTTTCAGGTGTTGGGATACGTTTGGAAGATCATTGATGTATATGAAGAAGAGCAGGGGACCAAGAACACTTCCCTGCGGAACTCCAGTATCAAGTGGCCAAGTTGTTGATGCTGTGTCTTTAATGGTAACATACTGATATCTATTAGTAAGGTAAGATTTGAAATAAGCAAGCGCATGGCCTCTTATACCGTAATGGTCAAGTTTGTGGAGTAGGCTGTCGTGGTCTACTGTGTCAAAAGCTTTTCTTAGGTCAATAAAAATTCCTAGTGGATATTCCTTATTTTCCAATGCTGTGTAAAGCAGATCTAGCATTTTTATGATTGCATCATTAGTGCTTTTATTTTTCCTAAATCCAAATTGGCAGGGGTTGAGTATGTTTTGTGCTGTTATAAATGAATACATGTATAGTCTCCTGTGCACGAGTTTCTCAAAGATTTTGGATAGCAATGGTAAGTTTGATATTGGCCTATAGTTGTTTAAGTCTGTAGGGTCACCACCTTTATGTATTGGTGTAACCCTTGCCATCTTGAGTAGTTTCGGGAAGGTGCTAGTTTCTAGTGACTTGTTAAAAAGTAATGAAATAGCATGCGAAAGGATATGGGCCGCTCGCTTGTACAGTAATGGTGGGACATTAGACAGATTCCCTGAGTTGTTTTTAAGTGACTTTATAATCTCGGTGACTTCCAAGGGCTCAGTTGGTGCAAGATAGAAGGAATTTGGGAAATTCCCATCTAGGTAGTCCCCGGCATGGGCATTAGTATGTGGGATTTTATTGGCGAGATTAGATCCTATGGTTGAGAAGAAGTCGTTTATCTTGTTAGCTGTGTCAGTGGGATGTAGTGGTGTTTCATTAGGTTTAGTTAGGACAATATTCTTGGTTTTTTTCAGTTTGTGGGTCCCTAGAATCTGAGAGAGTGTTTTCCAGGTCTTTTTTATATCTCCTCTAGTGTCTGTGAATCTACTGGAGTAGTATATTTGTTTGGCTTTCTTTATTACTTTGGTGAGAACTGATGAATAGTGTTTAAGAATATCTTTGTGTATTAAGCCCTGTCTATATTGCTTTTCATATTGGTGTTTCTTGTCAGTGGATTTCAGAATGGTGCTGGTTAGCCATGGGCAACCAAGCCGTTTGTGATCTGTTTCGTTTTTATAGGACAAAGTTTGTTGTATAGTCTAAGTAATTTGTTAAGAAAAATGTCTGTCCAGTCATCAATACCATTGGCCTTGGAGAATTCTGTAGGCCAGTCAACAATCTCTAGGTCAGTTGTGAACTTCCTTATTGAGGCCTCGTCATGGAGTCTCATTTAGACTGTTGTATTCAAGTGGTGGTTTATTAATGTTTGTCAGGAGGAAAGTAGGGTAGTGGTCTGTAGTGCTATCTGTGATTATCCCTGATATAAGGGGGGCTAGTATATTGGTCCATATGTGGCCTATTATGGTTGCACTTGTCTCAGTGAGCCTGGTTGGTTTAGTTATTGTTGGTATGAGAAGTGTGTTGTTCATATTGTTGATGAAATCAGTTACAGGCTGATCATCTAGTAAGCCAAGGTTGATGTTGAAGTCTCCAGCTAAGAGAAGGTGGTGCTTATTCATTTGTCTGTTTGTTATTAGTGACTTTAATTTCTCACTGAAATTTGGGATGTTTGTGTGAGGTATCCAGTAAATGGCACCGATTGTTATAGGTGTCTTAAGGTTTTTTACAGTAAAATTAGCAAAAATGTATTCCCCATATTCATCACTAAAGCAAGTGGTGCTAATACAAGATAATTGGTTAGAGTAATAGATTGCAATACCACCCCCAACTTGGTTTGGTCTGCAGTTGTGAATTGCTGTGTATCCTGGTAGAGGGTAGATATCTATTGTGTCCTGCTTAAGCCAGGTCTCAGTAAGAATAATGCAGGAGAAGGGTGTCTTTAGTGACTCAAGGAGTGCCAGGAGGTCATCGTAGTGTTTGCTTAAGGACCTGATGTTGTAGTTAAGTACTGATAGGCTTTTAGCATTGTTTAGGATAGTGCTGGCTTGTGATGCTGTGTAATAAAGGCAGTTACTTTCCAATAGGTTTTGATTGGGTGTCAGATTATGGAGGTTTAGATCAGGGTCAACGTGATCAATCATCTTCTAGGTTTAAATTATGGTTATTTATATCCTGAGTTATGTGTTGAGTTCTAGTACTGATATCTGTAGTGGTGGGAAGCTTGGATAAGTATATAGCTAGAGTATTTTGGTCATATAGAGTATAGTCACTACTACACATAATGAAGTTGATGTTGTCTATGTGTTGTGCTGGAATGAACTAAAGTACAACTAGGTATAAACTAGTAATATAAAAATACAAATTTAAAATAGAACAAGACTCTCACTTGGGCATTAACACTAAATTTAGCAGTCTTTCCTAACAAAACCTCACTTTTTCAGTTATCATAGATTTTCCTTGCCTGGAGTATATATGAATAAGATTAACCCTTTGACTGTTTCAGACGTATATATATGTCTTACGAGCCACCGTGTTTGACGTATTTATACGCATAAATTCTAGTGGCTTCAAATCAAGCGGAAGAAAGCTGGTAGGCCTACACGAGAGAGAATGGGTCTGAGTGGTCGGTGTGTATTACAAAAAAAAGTATTTTTTAAAGATTGTAAGATTTACTCCTTTTGTAATAAAGAGTTCGGGATACATAAATACACACATTAAAATCAATTAATCTTTAATATTATATAAAAATCAACTTTCTTTGGTCTAGAGGTATTTGAACTAACATCTGATAATATATACATGTTACAATAATAAATTATAATTAGCATTTACTAAAATAATAATTAATAATTCGTGACCCTACACAGGGTACAACTTTCTTGACACTACTGTGGCACTATATATCTATATATATCTATGCTAAAATAATAATTAAGTAACATTTAAAATAATATATTACAATCAACTGTTTCTCACGACACTTATTCGAGTTGTGACGCTCTTTCTCCACTGTGTCACTTTGACACCCTTTTCTCCGTGTAATATACACTTTCGCAACCGTGTCACACTTGACACCCTTGTCTCTGCGTCACACTACCCGCATAGCGTCTTTGTCGAGGCCAGTCACATGACTATTCAGTGTACACTACAACCAGGCCATCTTCAGTGTCACACGACACCCTTTTCGTCTCAGTGTTCCACTACGGTCCTGTGCATATCTCAGTGTTCCACTCCATCATACTTCCTTAAGTGTCACACTACGGTCCTGGCCCAGTTCAGTGTAACACTCCAACCTTTTCTTCATGTAATGTCCCACTAAACAGCATCAGATGACTCCGGCCCACAGTTGACAAGCGTAGGCGGTGAGTCCACAGACATCACCAGTAGTCCAGTAAATCCTCTCCAAAGCCGGTTGACACACCGCTAGCCGAACACCATGCTGCAAGCTCACTGAATGCGGCCGTCAAGTAACTGAGGCCAACAGACTCAGTGAGCTGCGGTGAGTGGTTCTTCTAACGCCAGTAGATGGGTACGATTAGGTGTTCAGGTACCTACTGCGTAGATGCGTACCGTGAGGTGCTCAGGTACTTAATGTTTCTAAAGCCAGTAGATGTGTACCATTAGGTGGTCAGGTACCTACTGCTTAGATGCGCACTGAGAGGCACTCAGG